CCTCAAAAATTCTCAGAAGTGGATTTAGTGATGAAATTCCATAGGAAAACTGTAAAATATAAAACTTTCTGTTGCTGGCCTCTGTCTGGCGCACGGATTGAGGATGCAGCAATTAGCAGTCTGTCATGTTTTCACATTACACCTCAGCTCGCTTGGAACCTGGAAAAAGTACCTGGAAGCAGGTACAAGTACAACATTTCTACAATGGAAACCCAAACAAAGGCGAGTGGAGCCAGCCGGTTCAGAGCAGAGCTTTCTGTGGGAGATGGGAACTCCCTTTGGGCTGGACTTTGGGCTTTTTCATTTTGCAAACCTTTACATGCACAAAAAAGATATATAACTCAATGAAGGAGAGGGAAAAAGCCAAGAAGCATATTACCACCTCTTTAAACTTTTCATTTTAGCCTCCAGTGTTTTGTAGATCAGATGAGAGTTGTTTACGGTTTTTCAAAAGTTTTTTTTTTTTTTCAGAAACCAAAAAAGAAGATGCCATTTCCTGTATGCTTTATTCTTGTTTACAAAAGTCCACCGGCATTTTATTTGCGATATATACGATAACTGGCTTGAGGAAATCATTAAATCTTTTACAATTTCTACCAAGGAGTGTAGATTTTCATCTTCTGCTGATCCCTCCATTGGAAAAAAATACTAAAATAAGTCCTTCAACACAGATCACAGTGACCAGTTGTGTGACCGATACTAACAGTTCACTAATGGGCTTTCAATCACTCTCACCATGGTAACCTCATTGCTCTTGCTGAGCATGATGCTGGCGATGACATGGTGCAGTTCAGGTTCGATAGACTTCCTAAATATCTAAATATATAAATATAACTATTTAAAAATCAGGGAGTTTAAGCTTACCATGGCTCTATGGCATGTTTCCATCAGGGATGTCATTAAGATAGAAAGACAGGGGGCTCAGCCCCCAGGGCATGCGTATTATTATATTAACAACAAGTGAAATAGCCAAGATGTTAACAGGTAAAAAGTGACATATTCTATTCTTCCACTTCTCCTCTGTTGAACTAAGGTTACTGTAATGTTTGCTTTGAGACACATCAAAGCTGCATGGGGGGAATTCACTTAGGCCAGACAGAGTTCTTCTGTAGGCAGTGACTTAAACGCTACCCAGCTGCTCATGTAAGTGTGATAAAGTAATACCATAAATAATTCCTCAATATATTAGATAAGTTGCAGGTCCAATGAATGCTATTTAATTACACTAATTACTGTTACTGCACTGTAGATTGGTTCAATCAGAGTGTGATTTTGGTCTGTAGTCAATAAATAAGGATCCTATTTAAAGTGGATACTGTCTGAATTTAATAACCTGATAGTGGAGGGAATAAACGTCCATATGTATGGATGCATGTAGTATGTATGATTGCTTTTATTTTATTATATTTTCCTGTGTGTATATCTGTGGGTATACGCTCATGTATATCATAGCCATTTAGGCAAAATCTACATATTTACTCATTTATTACAGCAAATGGATATAGAAAGGTAAGTTGGTCAGAATATAGCAAATATATTAAATATCATGAAACAATTTAGTTTAGGCATTGCCTTGGTGCCTAGATCTGCCAACTAAAGCCTACTGTTAGAAGAAAACAAAATATTCTATGGGGACTGATATTGTTTTGAAATAGGCTACTAGAGATAGGTAATATTAATGGCGTTCACATTATCAACACTAGTGTTTTCCATAGCCAAAATATCTCCTTTCCTTTACCTCAACTAAACATAGCTTAAGTTCAGCAATTAATAGTCATGAACAAAGTTTTACACTGCATCACTCACTAGGCTGAATCAATCTTCCTTCACCATGTCTGTGTGTCTGAGTGTCCGTGTTTGTGTGTAATGTTGCTCAGCAGCTCCGCAGAGCAGCGATGAAAAGCAGCCTCCCTCGGGGTCCTAGTGCCTGAACACGGTAGGGATTTATATTATGAAATAAAGGAAACAACCACAAGGATTATTTTAAGACAACAAATACAAACTTATCAGTATTATCTCTTCTCTTTGTTGATAACATGTCTGCACTGTGGATTTTAACAGCTATAAACGGGAATAACTTTGTATAATAATGTCACTGTGCTACTTAATCACTGGTAAAGAAGGGAAATGGTGTATAAACATTGGAAGGCCAGCAAAGGGTCGCAGATGAGGGAAACATGTGAGATGGTTTGTGGGGTATGAAACATTTCGTTTCCAACATTTTGTCTATCCTTCACTTCAAACCACTCTTAACAAAACCATGTATTCCCTTTCAGTAGCAGCCTCACTCGAAACCCCCTGCCTTCTGGTAGCCATGCAAAACTGGGACCATCTGTAGCTTCAGTAATGATGATGGCAGAGAGATCTTTGAAAGCCATCTCTTTTACTTTGGAGGGCCAAGATTAGCACCTAGGATCCAGCTGCTCCTGGAGCAGCTTTAAAATCTCAAACTAGGAGCAAGGAGGAGGGTTGCTGTAATCCTCTTATCTGTAATGCATCTTATTTTCTGCATCTAATATCTCTGTGACCACACAATGATTTTAAAGTAGCCAAAAATAAAATAAAAACATAATACACAGGGGCATCCATGACCACACTGACAGGACAGCTGTGTATTCTGGCAAGGTGCGACATGTCCACCCATATCACTGCTTCTGGTGTGTGGCTCTAAATACAAAATAAAAGGGGTAGTTGTTTTGGGTTTTGCTTTCTGATCATTGTGACTCACCTGTGGACTGTGGCCACATCGGGTAGATGTCTAAGGTACAATAAAATAAATATATCAATGGTGTTTTACAATCCGTGTATGATTCGTTCTTTCATTATTTCGTTTCAATGTCGAATCGTTTTTTTTGTTTTTTCCGTTTTAAAACCAAAAGGGGAAGAACAGATAAACAGAAAACAAAAAAACAAACATCTGTTTTTGTTTGTCTGTTTTAAAACCAAAACGGAAAAACAAAGCAGCTGTGTTTTGTTCTGTCTATGACAGTTTTCAAACTAACTGGCTGCTGTACACATGCGCCTGTTGTTTATAACAGCTGTGGTCTGTGGCGAGCTTCATCCAACCAGAGGGAATGATCACCGACCCTCCGCAGCGCACCAAGGATGATCCCACAACCTCCTCTGCTTCGCCCTGTATGCTCCAGCGCCCTACTGTGAGTTGTGTTAGTGGAACCGACGCACTGGACGGTCAGTGGTCATTCCCTTTGGCTGGATGACGTCCGATGCTCCTGATTTTACGCATAGCCTAATCCATGTGTTCCTGCAGCTGGAGGCTCTCTGCAGCGCAACTTTCTAAATTCTTCCATCTCACAAAGAAAATGAAGGTCAGGTCGAAACAGTGTAGAGAGGCTGAACGAAAATTACCATGTCATGTTTACTGTCTACCATTGGATGTACTGACAACTATCACTGAATTACTTAGATACTGAAGAAATCTTAAAAACCAGAGGATGCTTGGGCAACTTCTAAGGCATTCCTGTTCCAGTTGCTAGTGAGTTACAAACTGAACGGTGAGCCTTCGGATTTTCTAACTAAAAACCCACCTATGTTGATGTTCAAGATCATCTTAATTACATTTAAGCAGGCACCGCCCTCGCTCAAGTGTATCTGCTACACAAAGCTACACAAATCGGACACATTAAAAATCTAAATCAATATTTTTCCATTTTGGTTTTAAAACAGAAAAACAAAAGCAGATGTCTGTTTTTTTGTTTTCTGTTTATCTTACCAAAAAACAACTTGTTTTTTTGGTTTTTTTCGATTCCGTATTTCAACGAAATAATCAAAGAACAAACCATACAGGGATTTTGTAGCTGTGTATCGTTTCCATTTGATCTGAATACTGACATGTTATGTGTGTAGATGTGAATGCAGTTCTAAAGAGGAATGATATCGGTTGCTCAGTTGTATAAATGACCTGACAGCTGTTTCTGAAAATCTGAGATCCCTTTATAAAATGTTTATTTTTTTCTCCAGCTAATTATGACAACAAATACATCCATGATGTTTTTGCATTTCAAAAGCAAAGAGACTGACTAATTCACAAGGGACAGGGATTTTGGACACAACAAATATTTCATGTTTTGAAAGATGTGTAAAATATTGACGTCTTCCCTGGATCTATTCACAGAAGTAGAAAAAAAAGACATGAATCATCAGTAGAATGTCTTTCTCTTGTTGTATTTTTTTTTTAATCTTCAATGCAATGCAACTTAAAGAAGAGTCTTTTTGTCTGTTATTATGCATTCCTCTGAATCAGTTTGACTTTGAAAGCATATGCTACAGAATGAGGTATTTTGCAAATCAAGAAACTTTTCTCTCAGTCAGATTATTGCTACTTTGTGCTACGTCCCCTCCTGCAGTCAGGAGGACACTCACACTTTCACCTCCAGCCCCTCTGCTTTACACTCCCTCTCTCTGTCCCTGTCTCCGGGCCCCTGCTCTCTCAGGCCATGTTCCTTCCTTTACCTCCCCAGACCTGCCATCCCCTTGCCGTCCACAAGATGTCCTCGGATATTCTTACCTCATCACCTGACTGTCCCACCCATCCACACACCTGCTCCCACTTCTTACCAGTCCTGCAGTGACCTGACCTTCCCGGGTCAGCAGTTTCCACTGTTTCCTCATCAGCCCTGCAGTACTGCCATATCGGACTATGTTATGTTCCTGTGTGCTTCATGTCTTGGTTCCCTGCCTTCCCCTGCATGTTTTGGACTGTTCTCTTTGGACTTTTGATTATTGCCTGCTCCTCCTCAGATCGGTTTGCCTGTTTGGACTGCATTCTCTGGGTTTGACCCTTGCCTGCCTCATCATCCCGTAAACCTTTGTATACCTATTGTGTAAACAAATTAAACTGCGTTAGCTCTGCCTCAGGAACCTGCGTTTGGGTCCTAACCCTGTATTCCTGTTACCATGGTTGCACCAACAGCGACCTCTTACATCCTAGTTAAAACTCATTTATGCTGCATCCATAATAATAATCGAATTAACAAGCAGCATACATAAAATGCCTTACTTTATTCATATAGACCGGACATGCTTCCATTGCTTACTCTGCATGCTGCAATGACAGTGAATGTGTGATCTGAAAGAGATACACGGTAATGCCAGGGATTAGTCAAGGGCACAGCAGCTGCAAAGCCATGGCTGTATTATGTGTATTATTAAAAACACCAATGATCAACATCAATGCAGGACTAAGAAGAGATAATTACATTGAAGGCCTTGCAGTGCCTGGAAATCATACCTGCAACATGTGAAAGTGTCTGCCACTAAATGATGACTACCTCAAGGCCATCCAGAGGCTGCTGGGGGAAAAAGTAACATCTAAAACAGAGAAAATTGAGACATGAATATCCTGAAATTTAGCAGTCTTAAAGTGATACTCCACTAAAGAATTTAAGTATCAAACATTAATTCTGTGAATTTTTAAAGGCGGTTGTAAAAATTTTGTAGCTTGCTGTTTTGTGGAAAACAGAGACTGTGATCAGCATGGATCGGCAGGAAAAGTATCAAATGACGGAAGAAACCGCTTACTGCTTTGTGGGCGACTGTGGTTCAGTAGAGCGGGTTGCCCGTTAATCGGAAGGTCGGCGGTTCAATCCCCGGCTCCTCCAAGATACTGTACCCCGAATTGCTGTGGCTACTCCACCAGTGTATGAATTTGAATGCAGATGTAATGTAAAAGCTGTGGCGCTTTTAGTGGTCGAAAAGACTAGAAAGGCGCTATACAAATACAGAGCATTTACTTAGACCAGTCCTGCAGCACTATCTGCTTCCATGCTGTCCATTCATATGCTCATTATGTTCCAAATAGTCTTTTTCTCATAAATATAATGTTTCCACATGAATTCAAACTGATCAGATCTGCCTTTCTTTAACAAATGTCCTTTTTATTGTATTTTTTACTGCAGAGCTAAGGCCCAAAGTAGGTGTTTATGAGAGGGTTGCTTGCTTCTGTGTTTTGATCTCATTAAGATTTCCAATATTTTTATGTTGTCCTGTAAACAATTTAAATGGGACTGGAGGAACTGATAGAAACTGTTTTGTACTATGGTGTTTTCTGGTGAACCAAAAGGACCAAGACCCACTGCACTAAATCATGTGCAACAATTTCCTTGGGAATGATGTGCTGTGTAAGAACAATTCACTGACAAAACTGTCACCATCTGAAACGCAACAGGATATGAAATTGTGTCATAAGGCTCTGCTCCTTTTTTTCCCTCCCGTAGCCAGATCTCCCACAAACTGTCAGGAGAACAAGACCGTGTGCTCTTCCCTTATCAAACACCTCTGAAGTCGCAAGTAGTCTAAGAAATCCCTTCAAGGAGCAATCCAGATATTTTAACTGTGGTGCTGCAACTCACTAAAATCCTTGTTAGCTACTCTACCTCTGTGATGCATGTTAAACACACAGAGTAATAGACTGAGGTTTGTTGGTTATGATGGCTAATTATGTGCAGCATAGAATATGGATTACTGCTAACTGTGGATCATACAGCCCGTGAAAATGGAAAAGCAATGATTACACATTCTCTGCCAGTTACAGCCAAAACCCTTTCTGCATTTAAACAGGTTTTTTTTGTTGTTTTTTTTACCAGCGTTGCGTTATCACACCATCAACCTTTTTTTTTCAGTCCACACAATTTCTCCACACATATGTCTCTACAAATAGAACTTGGGTATGCAATGTTCTGTAAGATGCACACTTTTTGTGAGTCTGTATTTTTGTACACGTAATGAATGTCAGAAAAGAGACACGGCGCAGGCAAAGACACAGAGAGGGAGAAAGACTGATTATGCTCGTGCAGACGGGTATGATTAATCTGACACAGTATATGTGGCACAGGTGCTGTGTCTCACAGAATGAAGATAAACCTGGGGTTTTTGCCCAATGGCCATTATAATTACTGATTCTCTAATCCAATCTGTCATACCCATCATCCCCACAAGGAAATGTGATTGAAAATTTTAGCTGCCTCCATTTGTTACAATTATATATGCTTCTATTTTCTCTCCACTTTGTTGAAAATATTTTCTCGCAATGTAGGTTTTCCATGTGCTGTAAGAATAAAAAAAGCCTAAAGGACACACATCTCTGGGGATTAAGCAGTTACCACACGTAATTAGCACATCTTGTCAGCGCTCGAGTGTACGTATGTGAAATTCCATTTGGAGTGATGCATTAGAGCAATCACTCAAGAAGACTGCCAGTCAAGCCAAGGCGGAGAAGAACACCTCTCTCCCACTTCACATAAATAAGTCACATTTAGCAGGTCCAAATTCCAACACTTCATATAAATAAGTCACATTTAACAGGTCCAAATTCCAACACTGAGTATGTACCAGTGTTGAGCCCTTGATGCATTAGAGCTATCGATGTTCTGTGCAGAATGATTAAGGTTTGCTTTCAGTCCTAAGTGAAGAACATCAGAGTAGAATGGGAAAGTGACTTTTTAATTGACTGCTCTCACCACAGTTCAACCAATTTGGGGTTTTGCAAGCCAATACCGACAGTGATGAATTGAAAATGAATATGTATATAGTGTATATATATAGTTTCAGTTTTCTTTTGAGGGTGGAAAATGCCACTGACATAAAAGATCATGAGTAATTAAACATAATGTTGGGTTTGGAAGAGATCAAGATGAATGTCAATCATGCACTCAGTGGACCACATGATGTGCTGATATATAACACTGATTAAAAGGCCAACTTATTTCGACCTTAACTCAAATTAGAAAGCTCTAGTTTCTAAGAGATTACCAATACTGGCTAGGATGTCTACAACAAATTCTGATCTTGACGGTTTGTGTGTGTTAAATAAGCAGGTCTGGTGATATTCTATATTTATCTTACAAATCCCATAAAAAGTCAGAAACTAAAAATAAATTACTAACAAGTAATCCGTGGAACCAAAGTTAAATCAGTGAGCCACACTGTTGTACCAAATCTCCATTATGATTGCTGATTTGCTTTTCAGTTTATTCGTCCTGCTGCCGTAAATATTCACTAGTGCACCAAACCTGCTGCTGGAAAAAGTTCCTAACAAATACACTATTTACTGCTGTTTCGGTAATGTTCACTAAAAAAGCTGAATCATATCACCAGTCGTAAACTTTAAAGCGATCTAAAAAAAAGCTAATGGAAATATTTGAGAAACGTTTTGTTATTATTAGGGGTGTGACGAGACACTTGACCCACGAGACGGGATTAGAGATTGGGTTCACGAGATTGAGACGAGACGAGATTTTAACACTATTTTTAGGAAATCTTTAATGCTTATTATTTGAAAATTTTGAGTATTAAACACTTTATTTCCAGCATTCTGATGAATTTTTCTGCACCAGTTTATGGTGATTTTTTTAAATTTAATTTATGTAAAGAGAAACACATAATTCAGGTGGCAGGTGACAATTCAAAATCAAAATAACAGAACATAATGCAGTGCTGCTCTCCGTCATGCTGTGTTGCTTTCAGATCTGTTTCTCCAGTAGATCAACTTTTCTCATGTAATATCATCCCTGCTGAGTCATGATTTAGTCTTCCCTCCTTTTCTGTGTCTTTGTTTGGGGAAGTAACCTCTTTAAATGTGGCACCTTTTCACCTCAATAATAAATTATAAAATTTTTATTCAGTTAGAAACTCCTGGACTTTAATAGCTCCTGTGTTTCAGCAGGTTTTCTGCTCATTATTAATTATTAATCCGCTGGTAGAAAAGTTATCCCCTTCAGACCATTTGACCGACGCAGTTTGGGACTGCATGATGCATGTGAAACCGAAAGTAACTGAAACACTTCAGGCAGAAATCTCACCACAAAACCACACACATTAACTTCAGCAGTGCTGATAAAGTGCAGCTCACAGTCCCAAGCAGAGCAGGCTGTGCTTTAGATGTTTATGTTGCAAAACTCTACCCACTACGTAACCACTCGCCACAGCTGTCTGGACTCACAGCGCAAGCGGTGCAGTTGATTACCATCAGGTCGTACGCCAGTGTGGCATCAGCTGGGCGGAGTTGATCTTATCAGTTATACATTTGTATTTCACTGTGTGAGAAAATTAATGTGTAGCTTGACTGACAGCATGTGATAAATGTCTACCTGTGTGTAGCTTTTTACCTGTAGAGATATCTCGTTACAATTTAATCTCACAAGATCTCATCACAACCCTAGTTATTATCTAAAAACACACAAGCTTTTATGTTGCAATCTGGCGCTTGATAAATTAGATTTTTTTCAATATGTAAAACAACAAGTCTACAGTCATACTAGCAGTTGTGTGACTGTAATTTGGTAGAGGACTGCTTAGAGCTAAATGCTAACACTAGCAAAGCAACATGCACACAGTGACATGCTGATGTTTAGCAGGTATAATGTTTACCATGTTCACCATTAGCTTGTTAACACACTTAATATTTGCAAAATAGCCTTAAACACACAGTACAGTGGATGCTAATGTTATTGGTCATAAACCAAAGTATTGGACACATTTAAATTTTCCCCAGATGATGGCATAAGGGGAAAAGTCAGAGGCTCACCACAATTACAATTCATCCCAAGGGGGACATGGCTACGTACCAAATTTCATGGCAAATCTAGTTTGGAATAGCTGTCATTGTTCAAACCTCATGGAAGAAGTCATGGGCTCGCCAAAGTCATTAAGAGACATCATCTGGGAACCATGGATGTCTGTACTAAATGTGGTGCAAAGTCGTCATGTAGAGGTAGAGATATTTCATCGGATAAGTTAAAAACTGACCTAATGATGGCTTTAGAGGAAAAGTTAGGGCCTCAACGAAAATCATTGGGAACTATCATCTAGGAACAATGAACGTCAGTACAAAATGTCATAGCAATACATCAAACTGTTGAGATATTTCAGTCTGGATCACAATGGTGGACCAAAAAAACAAGTACAAACAAAAAGCAAAGCAGATTCATTAACCCTCCAAAAGCATTCAATTCCTCCTCCTCTCCTCAAGGAGCCTTGTACAGTGTATTTCCAGAACCTCAAACTGCATGTGTGCATGACATTTCCACCGTGTATACAAAGTGGTTAGCCAGTTGTCAGTCCTGCCACTGATGGATGCTGTTTTCTCAGTGCTGTAAGTGCATTTCAAATTCATATGCAGGAACATCAATTAAGTTCACACAAGTCTCAAGGTCAACTGTAATGGTTTCCTTTTATAAACAAGACATCAACAGGCTGTGCTCTGAAACACAATGATTCTTCTAGTAATAAAAGTAATGGTCATAAGACTTTGGCTTACTGTAGCAGGGAGTTGATGGCACTGAGTTGAATTCTGAAAGTAGAAATGTTCAGTACTGCATGCTGTGTTTAGTTTGGCTCTCTACTTCTGACTCATAGTCCACAAAGTAAAGGATGATGCAGAATCATATTTATAAACTTGTTTTCATTGGAATATGCCAGTAATGACAGCTTGATCTAATCTTAAAAGGAAAACAGCATCACAGCTTCTATTTAGATGATTCACCCTTCAGCACCCTTATTGTTTTTCACTGCATTTATTCACTCTTTGCCCTGAACCGGCATGTCACCTTGGACAAAAACTCACATTAATTCACATCGATAAACATAAAACAGACATGCCCACTCAGCCCAAAACCAAAATGAAAAAATTATACATACGCCTCTAAACCCCCCCCCACACACACACACACACTTGAAAATTCAACAGCAAAGGGAGCAGGGACGGGACCTGTCAGAATATCAATCATCATTGTCAGAAAAATCACATCTGTATTCATCAATAGAACCGGGGCAAAATGTGAACCTGCTTATCATCCCTCATGGGGCGCTTATAAGGGTCACTTCTGAAAAGGCAAAGACAGATTCTGAATGCTGAGATAGATGCTCTATGTGCTATATTCAATGATATACTGGATATACACACACACATTTATAGTTATGGCCAAAATATGGGCACCCCTGCATGTCTGTCACATAATGCACTGCTTCTACAGTGGTACAATGAAGGGGTAGCTAGTTCCACGTTGTTGCCACTTCACTCGAGAAGTCATTGCATTCAACTTAATACAAAAAGTCAAGAGATTCATCACGAGAACGTTAACCTCCTGTTGTGAGCAACCCGTACACAGTCCGACAGACTGACTATGTGTGTGTGTGTGTGTATGTGTGCCGTTTGTGAGTGCTAAACCAGGGTGACCAAGCTCCAGTTTAGCACTCACAAAAGATTATCTCTATCTGTGCATTTTTCTGTGAAGACTGTGGGTTTGCCCATAATTATTATTCATTTTTTGTATGTTCAATAGGACTGAAAATAACTTTGGGAACATTTCTTTTTGATGAACTGAATATTTACTTTTGGCTTTATATTTTTGATGGTCTGATAACCTTTTCCTGTGTTTGAACTGTGAACTATGTGTTTTCTTTGTGTTTTGCTAAACTGGTGGAAGGTCTCTGAATGCATGTTACCTTGAATGTTACTGGCCCACGTCTATTATACACACTATTACTATGTTGGAATCTCTGTCTAAAGCAACAGGAAATGGTGTTTATTCCAGATCACACTTTTCCAATCAGCTCTAGCCTTTTGATTATGGTCAGGCATTTTTGAAGTTCATACAACTAAACTTTGTTTTGATCTCGTGTGTCATCTTAGAAGATCATCTCAAAGCCCTGAGGGTTATCTTTGTACTTCACAGCCATGTGTCCAAAAGCACGACATAGACCGAGCTTGCTAGTCTGATTAAAGCTTGAGTGAACCACTGAATTGCTATTTCAGAAAAAAATAAATAAATCGGTAATTTGCTTCTGAAAAAGAAAAAAAGAAAAAAACGGTTGTGGATGAAGAAATGTTGAGTAAGATTTTTCTTGAATCATTTCCTTTGCTCTCAAAGCGGCCCCGTGGAAGACAAGGCGACAAACAAATTAGAAGTAACCTCACTGGGAGGGGTCAGGCATCTGCGACAATCTTCCCCGCATCAGTTTGAGCAACTGAGGCCACTTTGCATTCTGTGGCGAACGTCTCCCTGGAGCAGAACATAAAGTCAGAGCCACAGAATGAATTTCCTACCCTGACCTCTACTAAGATGATACCCATTTACCACATGCAATTACTGCCTTATTGACTTGCAAAACAATGTTCATGCAGCATCTATCCAGGGCAGAGCAAGTAAGAATCTGTATGACAGATGGGATTAGGTGTAGAGGGAACTGATTTGTTCTTTTGTTGTCTGTGTTTTTTCAGCTTTGTAGGTAAAATAAGGCACTTAATGTCAGTTCCATTCTTTATCTGATCTCCTAGCAAAAGTAATATTACATTATTGTTAATTCCTTTAAAATGAGAAAAAGAAATTCAAGTTTTTTTGGAAAATAGTTGCAGTTATTTTCATGGTACCTGTGTTAGAACAACTAGGGGTCAGCCAAAGTATCAGTATAGTTTTCTTCCAGATACAAGTACTGCACAGACATTATAAGAAATTAAATTTTTCAGTAAAGCATTAACAAACAAAAAACAAAAAAGTTGTGTCAGTACACAGTAAACTACCATTACTCAGTGCTGCTCAGCTTTTGTCTTCTTCACTCTTTTATAATAAAAGTTCATGCACCATACTTGTTTTTAAGTGCTTTATCCTATTTAGTTGGAAGAAATCCGCTGCTACACGCTGATGTGCATACCCGAGAAATCTTTTTTGTGTGTTCATGCTTTGTGGGACCATCCAGCTTTATGTTGCATCTTCATCAAAAGTCAGTTTAGTTCTTTTTTTAACAACAAAGCATGTGTGGCAACTAAAACACATGGTTAAGGTTAGGTAAAGACTCTGCTCATGGTTAATTAAAAAGGGGAACTTTAATTGCAGGTCTTTCAACAGAAAGTGTGGTCTCGTGCTTCCTCGTCACAGACATCCACCAACTCAACACCTCATTACATAAAGGCCACTGAACATTGACACTGGACATAAACCAAGAGGGATGAAATTTTCCAATGTTACAACAGTAACTTCTTAATACACAAAACAAACTTCTTGTGAGAAAATAAATCTGACAAATTCAAAATCTGGCATAGAAGACAGTCTAAACCTTGCAATACTGTGTCTTTATTATTATATCCACTAAGAAGGAATAGCTATTTAAGCAGAGAGAGTGATCCTTCTTTTGTGTGCTGCCACATCCTTGAAGATTCTAAGTGTAGATTAGAGTGGGCAGTTTGATTAGGTAAGGATTTTTCTGTCACGGGGAAGGAAAGGTAAGGGTCTGTGCCGACACTGGCGTATCCCTCCTTTCTCTTATCCCCACACTGATTAATGGCAGAGTCCCGCAGTCCTCTGAAAGATCGCTGAAGCCAAGGGAACCCTCCAGAGATGAGGCTCCCTGCCAATTACCTTCCTCAATAATGTCCGTTCAATGCCTGAATGACAGGAGACCGCCCCCGAGGATCTGAGTGGGCTGCTATTAAAGCAGACAGTCGCAGTTTTCATGAGTGGTGTGGCTGCATATGGAACCATCTGTAGGTGAGGGAAAAATAAAACTGTATTACTATTTCAGTGCTTTTGCTATATGGCTCTGCCTCTGTCTTATGTATACCTGTGTGAGTGTGATAAGGGAGCTGCTGATAAACTAAACTTAAATGGACAGAAAATCTAAAGGTTTGCACACTTATGTGTTTGTCGAATGGTACTAGCAAATATACGTTCCAGTGAATTGTCAAACAAATGCTGTATGTTCTGAAAATGGCACACAGTCCGCCATGTACAGAAAATATACGAGATATGACATGCGAAAGGAGAAAACTTTTTGATTACACGTCTGGGGGAAAAAAAGATGTGAGACTTCAAGGACATGGCACAAGGACTTCAAACTGTGCCACCTTTGGAGAACTTCCTTCTGAGATAGTGCAGATAACCAGGGCTGAAAGGAGAGATTAGGAGCTAGCAGGAGAATCTGCTTCTCCCTGCTGATTTGGACATCCATTTTAATGGGACACTTAACACTTATTCAGAAGCTAGACCTAGAGTCTCACAGGGTTCCTCCTAGCACAGTCACACTACTTCCTGAGCAAGGAAACGGTAGCCATTGTGGGCATCAAAAATGCATTACCTGTGCTCCTCTGTCTGCTCAGCATTCTCACCAGTGGTCAGGCTGAGAAAAGTACCTTACTGACAGCAGAGCAGTTTGTAGACTAAAGGGAAACTGGACTGTAAAGAATTGAGCTACATCCTAGAACAAATTGAGGACAAAGTACATGCGCTAAAAAGTGACATGCTGTATGACAGTGCTCAAATTTTGCAGAGTTCAGTGCTATAAAAATGAGGAGTTCCATGCTAAAACTAAAAAGCACATTGGCCAGGTGTTAAAAAAGCTACTCAGTATCAGAACAGAAAGTTTTGTTTTTGATGTCTAAGGACTTGATGCTGAACTCCATTCTTCTTTTTCCAGCGTACGGATCGATTCTGAACCAAAATCTCATTAATTGCTTCACTATGGAGCTACTTGCCTCCCTGAGTGTGGGCCGTCCAAACCTACAGGGCCAACAGACACTCTAAAAATCGATCCCAAAGACAATGAAGGCATAATGTCAGCCACTCTGTGATGGAAGAAACATCAGCAAAAATGTGTAATTGAAAATTATAAAAGACTCGCCTTCCTCTGTCCAAAGTTTTGGCTGTACCTGTATATTGCTATCGCACCTCTTTGCGTTCTCTAGGCTGGCAGAGAGTAGCTGCCTGCCTGAATGCACTGACAAGCCTCTCAATACACTGGAAGAGACAACATGCCATACATACACAGAAGATGTAAATAGATCTACACAAATGTCACTTTGTAGGATTGTAAAGGATAAGTTAAAACCAGTCGTTACAGTTTGCTTCGAATGCGTGTTATGTAGAGAACTGACCTGGACTGAACAGAACATCTGTGAATGGTAAGGGGAGACATTTCAATTCTAGCCATTAAACAAAATACCTGAATGTATTTCATGTATGTGTTTAATGTTGAGCAATATCAAAATCAATTGTGTCCTCTTGGTTATGGTCCATTTTGCCACTGAAAAAATGTCTAAAATGTTTGTTCTGTGGTGATCATTTTTTTCTTACATCCTCTTGCCAGAAATTACTTTAGTTTTTCTTTCTCTGACAGGACTAAAATGGGAAATACATCCCAAACTCTCAAGAGAAAACTAAATTCAAACCATTAAAGACACAAAAAACACACAGCCAATTAGAATAAGTGAAGTACTGCAACAGCAGGGCCCCTGTCAAATTATTTTTCTCATTTCCCCTTCTCCCTAACAAACACACATACTTCCGTCTATTACACACTCGTAACAATGCTGTGAACATGCATGTCATGTGTCTTTTCCTATAACACATGGACTCATGTACGGGGAAATTGTTTTCTGCAGCTCACACTGGCAAGGCACATAACTGATAACAGCACAAACAATGAGGAAAAACACAACAAAAGGAAAACGCACGGTTTGTCTAAAAAACAAAAAGGCAGCAGTGCATCTGATCTGTCAAACAACAGGATTTTTTAGATATGTCTGGACACAAGCACTCACTGGCCTCTGCCCTACAACCATTTCCCCAAAGAACCGCTATTTGTTCTCCTTTATTAGTCATGACGTTGACATTCAGATCTGTTCTCATGCCTTAACACCTAGAATATAGACTACAACAGGCATTTCATTCTGAGGCAACGGTTTTCGTGCCCTTGCCTGCAATAAACAGCCAATGTACAGTAGAAGGAGTGTAGTACATATTCATTAGCATACAGTAAGAAGAACACTCGGTGGGTAGAATATTAATGTGTTTTTCAGAGTAATGTGACAAGCGTACATCTTGGCCTATGGGCTCAACTGAGCAGGAGAAGAATGGGAAGGGAGAACTTATTTAATGGTGTTTTGGTTCCAATGGCTGCAAGGTGAAAAGAAAATTAGTATTATCTATAATGTGGTAACAAGAAAAAGTGGATAGCTCGACTGGTGCACTGTCAGAGTCAACATGGAGGAGCTGAAAAATACTAGAAAACATACTGGCTAAACTAGAAATATATGTTTTCTGTATGATGGGAAAGAATTCATAATAAAGGATAACTGCCTCACACCCGTTCAGCAAAAATAAAAAGAATTATTTCTGTTAAGTACATCATTGAAATTTAAAATTACTCGAAATGTCGAATACTAATTCAACACATGTCAGCCTTTAAATGGTTCAAGCTCTACAGAAGTGGCAATTAGTTAGTGCATATAACTGCTTGCATTGAATCATGGGGCCATGTATAAATCATTGCTTACTGACAGTATCTCTCCTATATTTAACATCTCATCACAAATCCACAAAGGGAGCATTTCAATGCCGCCCGCAGTGTCACAAGCAAGATGCACTCTACAGAGGGTATCAATTGAAATCTCCTGTTTCATCTTCCTGCAATGCCTCATCCCTCAATATAATTTTATGCCATACAGCTTTTTTATTTTTTTTATTTCCAGAACTATGATTATAATAAAAGGGACAAGATGATCAGCTTCTCTGGTGGACTTGACAGCCAATTGAATTGTCTGCTTCATGGCAACTCAGTCCATTGACCTTCTGTCTCCTGTCTACAGGAGAATAGCAAAGGTGGCGTCTGAACTCACCCACCTCTACAGCTGGCCAATCAAGCTAGGGAAGTCATCGATACCTTTGTGTTCACAATCAATCACACCGGTAAATTACAGTTAAGTGGGGAGCATAACGATGCTACAGAATGAACACAGGCCAGACGACACCCGTCTTAAATATATTATACAAAACTGTGTAACGCAATCACAACCACTGATGCTGACATGTGTGAAGGTTTTTGGATGTGTGAAGTCACAGAAGAACGTTGCAAGTTAATAAAAAAAAAAAAACTGTAATCCCTGCACATATAAGCTGCTGTCACTGCCGTCACTCAGGACTACTTTACAGCTTACAGCAAGGTTAGTGACCGGCTAGTGAGCATCATGAAGCATGTAGCAAGCTAAATAGCCAGATATTTTTCAAAAGAGCGAAAGGAGATTTAATATTTGACTTGCATTTGTCGGGTGGCCAGAAACACAACTCCAAATAAATGCTAATCTTGCTTTGTGTGTTTGCTAACAGCCATATCAACTTTACACAGTGATCCTTTATACATGTAGCTTGTCGACAAACCTTAACCACAGTGTTTGTACTAAACTTAGCTTTCAAACCAACAAATATTACGGATATATGATATAAAGACAATAGGATCGGAAAATTACAGAATACAGATGGCCAAAGAGAAGTGGGAGGGGAAACTGTGCAACAAGAAAGCCAATAGCGGACGCAAAATGTGGTGATTTTAGAGACAATTAATGTTAAATTAGACATCGACTCTGTAGAAGCAACTGGGGATTAGCCATTCAAAGGTTGGTTAAGTGCAAGGCAGCCACTGACCCCTAGAGTCACAGGTAGAGAGATCTGTGATAGGCTTAATAGAAAATGGTACTAATCGCATTAAAGTGACAAACATCATTGAGTGGTCTTAGTAATAGGAGCCAGTTGGTGTTAAATAGTTCAGGGGGGTTAATAGGCAATGCGTTTTCTATTGATTGGCAGTCTGGTGGGACTGGTAAACAAAACATTTCCCAACAGGCCGGTGGTCCAACAGCTATGCTTTCCAAAGTAGTATATGTGGATATTGTGTTTTGCTCACTGTGGCAAAAAGAGGCATAAATCTGCTGAAACAGTCTGTGATCCATTGCAGCCATTCAGAGTTTAGTAGAATGCCACCTAGCTCAACTAATGTAATAGTAAATCACCACATCACAATGTCCTTCTTCTCATCTCCTCGTCCCCACTAATGTTCTTTTTTATCACAGTGTCCACTTGGAAAAGCTTGCCAGGCAAACGGTAATGAAATGTCTTATTTCACTTTGATATTGATACAATCCTTGTGCCCCTCCCCAGCAGTCTTTTCAGAGGTTAAAATTACCCTGAATGTTTGTGTTCAGTCCCTCTTCAGACCAAGATAAATATTGCCAATCTGGCTTCTGCTGGCTCCTACTCTGCTCTTGCTCTGTGGCCAAAAGGAAAAAATGGTCTGCTTTCCCAAGGGGCCAGAGGCGATAGAGCTATGTGCAAGGCTATCAGGGCTGTGCAACTTACGGATGCTGTAGATATTAGATTGCACTTTCCCTCGAAAAGAATGCCATTTATCTCTTCAACCTGGGCCACCCGATTGGCGGAGATGGCTTTCTTTGTGCAGATGTCAGGGGTGACATTTTGAGGCATCCAGTTAAAATGGAATGTTTGGAGTCAGTCGGTGCAATAGCTCAAATCTTGACAGCAGGGGATATGCCAAGCCCTAAGAGAGTACATCCCTCAAGTGAAACATTTTTGGAGATTGGATCCACCATATGCCAGATGGAACAAGATTATGATACACTGTCTACACTGACAGCATCTGGCCTTGTGCTTGTTATCACAGAATACTAAATATGTTCACACGTTGATATTTACCT